GAGAGTGTTTCTGATCAGCTTGGCTTCATCTTACACATACTGAAAATATCCATCATTGCTGGCTAATGTTCCTTTGCAATAGCCACGATAATTTGTCTTAGAGAAGAACTTTCTGGTGTTCCCGAGCCGTTCTCTACCTGCAATCAGACTGTTCTTTCCATCTGTGTTAGCCAGGACAAGGAGTTACTAATGTTGCAGAGATTGCCATTCTTTGTTTTTCTCCTAACTTATTTTCTAGGGTTTGTTTAAAGATAGTGGTCAGAGTTGTTGAAAGATTTTTTGAGTGCTATTTAGCCCCACTATGTCAGGTGAGATGTGCAATAAGAGGGTTTTAGAGGAGGCTAAAAACATTTCTAATAGGTGAGACTATTTGGTTGAGGAAAGAAGCAGAGCTCACAGTTTTCAGGGTTTTACATTGGACTGTTATTGCTCTCCTACATCATGTACGAAAAGACTAACACTTGCTGCTTTTGTCTCTGTGGGGAACCTCATGACAGCATCTTTAATCAGCCTGTGAGAAGTCTTGTGAAAATGGTCATATGTATAATATATATGTGTAAATTCTTTAGTGGCTCCAGAGGAGCTGTGTTAGATCTGAGAAAAGACTCCCTGAGGATTCTGTTTGGGAGGGTTTAATTGTGAAATGGGATTGTGTTGCATCATGGGAAGAACTAAATGCCAGCATAGCTAAATACAAACCCCCATGAGTTACAGGGACTGCCCACCTTTGTGGATGCACAGTGTAAATAGTTCTTGGGCAGATTTACCTCTAAACCAGATGTTCTTAAACATTTCATGACACGTGCCACCATCCTGACCCACATTTTAACATAAACTTTTATTTTACCTTGAAGAAATATTGAATACAGTTGTTCCATCCTATCATGTTAGGCAATAACTAATCAGTGCAGGACATCCTGTTTTTTTCAAGTCTGACCGCCTTTTTAACCAACAACAGAGGTTTGCCCTTTAAAAATAGTCAGCTCTCAGTAGTGTGTGCTCTCAGCCAATTTCAAAGCATAGACAACAGCAGATTAATATGAAAATAAAGTATATTTTTACATTAATAATGTTGCAGCTACATGACTTCTAGATCATCCCAGTGCTAGCCCATGTTTTATATTTCTCCTGACGAATACACTAGAACCCAGGTCTGAGGATGTGTGGTGTTGGCATGTAAGGGTGCACCCAATCTCCTCCAACAAAATGTGATGAACTTTAATAATGTGTGATTACTGATATGTCTCAGAAACCTTTAGGTTCTTCATAGTTTCTCTGTCCATACCAGTGGAGTTGATGAAGCAGCTAAATATGCCTTTCTAAATAATCTGAAGATTTTTCTTCAGGTCATCCTCACGATCTTTGAAGGTACTTTAGATTATTAGACTATCCCATTTAAGGTGCACAAGCTGATGTCTCTACGTGTTTTTGTCCATATATACTCTGCGAGAGAAAGTTTGTTCACATGTAGGAATGCTCTTGCAAAATCTGCAAACATCATTTACATAAAAGACAATGCATACAGGAATACAGTGGATAAAGACAGGGCTGTGTAGCCCCGCCCCCTTATGCCCGCCACAGTAGAGAGACAGCTTTGACGCTGAAAAGCATCAACACTAACAAAAATGATTCATCGTGAAAAAAAAAAATAGTCAGTGTGAGAAAACACTCACCACTAGTCAGGTTCACTGTCATCACTGCATTACAGTTCATTTCTTTGCATTTACCTTTTAATTAATTAATACCAACATTCTAATAAGTACCAAAGGATGTAGCCCTTGTACCGCTAGTGGTATGTGTCTCACAGTTTGACAACCATGGTTCCAGACCTGCTTAAAAAAGTCACTGGGAGTGATGCTCGCCTTGTTTGAAATATCCAGTTTACTCAAAAATGTTCAGATTGCATCTCACCATTTTTAGCTAAACATTTGTGTCTATTCAAACCTTTTTCTTTTCTATTTCAGCACAGTAACATCAGGACTTTGCACCTTTTAAGAGGCTGTCCCACACTGTCTCTCCTCATCTAGTCATGTAGCCAGATAGCACCAATATAACACAGATCACAGGAAAGGTCATGCTCTTTTTCGTCACCAGAAAGGGTAAAAGAGAGATGATAAATGCAGAGGATAGAAGGAGGATCCTGGAGGTGGCTGCTGCTGCTTTAAAACCTCTGCTGCACCTTTGGAAGGAAGGAGTGCTGAGCATGTTCTTTGCTGGTGCCACGCTCCCAATGGAGCTGTTCTCACTAGGGATTCAGACAGATTTTAAAGCAGCCACGGCTTCTTTTAAAATTCATTTTCAAGATTCTTTGAAGTTCAGCAGACCGGGGGGCTTGGCTCCAATTCTATTGGGGTGACCTGTTCTAATAATAGCACAGTCACTTGTGACAGTGTGGAGCTCTATCAGGTGTAAAAGCCTTCATCAAATGCTGCTCTGTCTCTCAGCGACAACCACGGTGGCTCTCAAGCAGCAATATGCTTCCCTAATGTGCATCAGTTTATACTTACACAGCTTAGAAACCACCTCTGTGCAGATTAGATGCTTTTTGACACCAGTTTTGCACGGCAGAGCGATAAAGCGCACACTCAAGCTCCTTTAACCTGACTGGTCAGTGTCATCTGTAATTATAAACAATACCTAACTCCAGAACACAGCAAGTGGCTTTAGAAAAGTCAGCTCCCCATTCCACTCTATGTGGCTTTTTTTAAATTCTATTTTATGCAAATCTTCTCTGACTGAGTTGGATGTAAGCAGGCTACTCATTCACAGCAGCGTTGATAAAGACTTCTACTCAGTCTTATTGTGAAACGTATAATAAAAATGCAGAGAAACATGCAGGTACTGTAAATGCAGGACTTCTGGATCCCACCTAAGTCGGACTACTGTAAGCATCTTAACCGCCATCCTCCTTGGTTCCCCCAACATGTGGTTGTATCAGCGAGGCACTGTAAGTCTTCCCTTTAAGCATACAGCAACAGTCAGCTAAGCACGCTTACGTCTAGCCCCATCCTCTTTGCCTGTGTGCTGTTCCCACTCAGATACGGACATCTGCTGAGGACGTTTTTTCCTTTTAACCAACATTAAAGAATATCCCCTCACCCCTGCCTCAGCTACCTAAGCACCTTAGCATCTTAGCAGATAGTGCAAACAGAGGCAAAAGTGTGTAAAGGAGAAATACAAATATGAACAGAACTACATAATACTCCAGTTCAGGCAGCCTTTCCTAGCTAGCACACTGTAAGACGTTCATAAAGCAGCTTGTAATCTGCAGAATAAGCTTGTATTAAACAAAACAATCCATAAGGTAATGAATGGACATCATATCCATGTTTCCTGCCTATTTTAGTGAACCATTTCTGATCTACGCTGTTTTCAGGGCCTTTAATAACTTCACCAAGGGAAGATGCATCTTTGGTAACCTTGATAAAATAAATGAATTCTTTAGAGCAAAAGGTTTAATTCAAATTCTTGTCATTAATCATTTGGTCTGTTTACCACCACTACAACACAGTGCACAACAAACCACTGTTTCCAAGTCCAAATATGTGTTAAAGGTATGTTCCTGTAAACCTATTTCTTTTCCAGTAAATGTTGGAATCAATAGTTTGTTCTCCTTTATGTGCACAAAACTGCCCAGTCATTTTATATTCTCTTTGTAAAGACATTTTAACCTCATATACATTACAATGATGAATCATGGAGCTGTTAAATTAAAGCTATTTTAACTCTTTACATATAATCTGACATATTAGTTTGCAAATATAGTGTTCAATATTTCAATAATGTTCAATACTTTTTTGATGATGAAAATTTGAGTGAGCCTTCACTTTCAGCACCTTGGACAGCATTCATCTTTGCCCGGCTTACTAACCTACTGCCTGCACCGTTAACAGGAATTTCGGCGGGTATCAAATGTGTCAGAAAAATATGTGAACTTTAGTCAAATATAGGTTGAAAATGAAACTTCAATAATGGTTAAACTTGTCTTTATTTTGTTAAGAAAAAAATCCTACCTATACATTTTGGTTAGAATTTAATTAAGTTTGTTGTGTACGTGTCAGCTAATGCTTTATTCTTTCATGACAGCCAAACCTTACTTTTATTTTATTTTTGACATAGGACTAACTAAATCACTTCCTACAAGAAAGAGTGAAAGTGCTTGTTTTTTCATGATTATCTGCTGGGGAGCTATGTTGTGATAGAGGGGATCATCCGCATCTATAAAACGTATTCTACTGCAGCTGTGAAAATGCAGCTTGAGGTTTTAAATGCATGCAAAGGAAGATGATCCCACCATGAGGTTATGAACATGGTAATTTTTTGTTGTTTATGAAAATGTAATTGTGCAGATGTTTTGTAGTTTCATTTGATTAATAAAATCCAAATATGGGCAAATGTTGCCCCTTCAGTGCATAGCTTAAGTCAGCATACAACAGAATTAAAACAGAATTAAACCTGATGGGTTTGTTTAAATAAATGAAATACTTATCTGAGTAAAATTTCTCACAGAGAGAATTTCTCATATTTTGTTAATAAAGTACTTTTTAAAAAATTTATTGGAATTTCTTGTGTCAGTCTTTAGCTGTTAAACTTATTTAATTTCTATTTTCCCTCATTACTGATTAAAATCTACCCAAACACAGCATTTTTAATCAGTTTTATTGGCTAAATTTTATCAGTCTGTTTTAACTGTAGAACTCAGTGGGATGATGTGAATCACTTTTACCTTGCAGACTGGATCTATCTGGTCTCATTGCTGTTTTTGACTTTTGTTCTCATTGATAGACAGTTTTTCTCTGCATTAATGTTAGTTTTGGTGTCTTCATATATTTAGTCAGTCAGTCATTTTCTACCACTTATTCCATAGTGGATCGCAGGGAAGCTGGTGCCTATCTCCAGCAGTCTATGGGCAAGAGGTGGGGTACACAGTCCATCACAGGGCAACACACACAACCATGCACACACCTAAGGGCAATTTACAGAGTACCCAGAGAGAACCCACGCATGCATGGGAATCGAACCCAGGACCTTCTCGCTGCAAGGCAACAGTGCTACCATCTGCGCCACCATGCACCACATATATTCAGTCATTTAAAAATAAGGTGATTTTATTTTTTTAAACAAAGGTCACAAGCTTTAGTTTCTGCAGTCTTATGTTCTCTAATGCTGTTAAAAGCTCAGTGAATATTCTTCTCCTGATGTACAGACAGCTCAAAGCTTGAAAGCTTTAATTCTGAAACTGCTGTGTTTGTGCATTTTGTGACACAATGCATGTCAGATTCACTGAAACACATAAATAAAAAACACCTACTAATAAATTCAAATCAACTAAGTTATTTAATTGTGAATATTTAAGGAAATTTACAGAATTACTGAAAACTAACCACAAATGGCTGTGACAGGGTGGCGTAATAAAAACAGAAACACAAACCTACCTCGGACACAGTGTCAGCAGATTTGATGGGTTTGAATTGGTTTATTCAGGAAACAAGAAGCAGAAAACCCCCCCAAAAAAGATTTTATTCTCTGTGTTTTAATCGTTTGAAATCTATTGATGCCTTAGCAACGTGGTGCTAAAAACGATCTCTGTGAGACATGTCGGTGAGGGGTTCTGCTGACCGTGGAGAAGAAAAATAACAAAAACAAAAACACTGGCATACATCTATAGAGTGATATGATTATTCACAGCAGCGTGCAATGAAGATGTGTAACATCATACGTTACCCTCCTCCATGCAGGGATTAATGAGTAGAAAACAAGAAGGGCTTCATAACAGAAAAAAAGCAACACAAAAGTCCAAACAAAAACACACACGGACAACAGAAAGACTTTAAGAAATAGTGAAATCAGATGGTTTAAGTAAAGAAATGTGTTATTTGGTCCTGAGGTTTGTTGACGCAGTTGAAACAGACGTTCAGCAACACATATAGAGTTAATGTGTTGCCTTAGGTTCAGGAGCAGGATCTCGCCTCATCCACACCTATGATTACCCAGCAGACTGTTTATATCTTTTCAGTACAGTTTGTCCTCAGTCTTCCTTCCATTCTGTTCCTCATCCCCTCATTTATTCACCCCTCATCACAACTCTCTTCATCCCTTATCTAACACTTATATATCTGTAATCTCTGATCTCTCATCCCTAACTCATCCCATGTCCTTCATCTCTCCTTTCTGCCTCAATCATAACCTGACCAAAAACTTCCTCATATCCCTGCCTGCCTCATAACTTCAAGCCTCATCACCATCTTTTACATCCCTCATCCCTAACTTCCTTATACCTTGTCATTCATCTCTCATCTCTGCCATCTTCTTCCCTAATCCCAAACTCCCTCTCTGCCCCATCGCTTATCCTGACTTCCTTTATCTTTCTACCAGGCCTCTCTCATCCTCATCCCATATCTCTGTCTAACTCCTCATGCATCATCCATACTTCCTTCACTCCTACCTCTCTTATTTCCATCCCTTATACCTCCTCATCCCTGCCTTTCTCATTCCTTTTCCATTTCCCTACATTCTTCATCACTTACCCCTAGTTCCCTCATTCCTTAATCCTTGCTCATCTTCCATAACTCCTTTTCCCCTCATTCCTACCTCCTTCTTTCCCTCTTCCATCATCCTTAAAAGCTGCCTCCTTTAGTCAACCCTAATGTTTTTCATCACTTCTACCTGCCTCCCTCACCACTCAGTCTTCATTCCTGAGCCCTCATCCTTCATTGGTACCTCATTCATCCCTCATCCTCCTTGTCATCTGACCCATTTCGCTTATTTGTTCCTTTCTGCTTTAAGTAATCTCTGGAGATTTGTAGTTGGCTTGACAAAAAGTCTTGCATCACCAATAATTCTGATTTGGATAAATTGCAGTCAGGGCAGTGGATGGAACAGAAAACTGCAGTACATGTGACACTATTGATGAGTTTTCCTGCAGCTACGGCGACAGGTTGGTGAAGAAGAGTGCTGGGAGGAGGTGTTGTAAGCTTTGATACCTGGTGTATGTGGGTGAGCCGGAGGTTATGTGAGCCATCTCAACCTTTCCTCTGCCATCCATCACACTGCAGAAACTCACACAATGGGGACCAAACAGAGATAACAAAAAAAGCATTAGTAGTGACCTGGTACTCTTTCTAAGATGTGCCCATTCTCAGGAGTTGAAGAGATTTCTCCTGGCAAAAACAACTTTATTTTATTTCCAAAGCGGACAGTCAAAATATGCTTTCCTGGCTGTAAAAGGTGGGATTTTATGTGTTGAGAAAAATTACACAAATTCAAAGCCTTCAGGCCTGAACCTTGTTATTGTTCTATGAAATTATAAACAACATTTGAAGTATGAGCGATTGCATTATAAATGTGCATTAAAACATTTTACTGGTATCATAAAAATGCCTACTCTAGTAGTATGAAAACATGATTTTACTGCTCAGCACAGCACTTTACAGTGAAAATGTGGATCAATAATTTGAAAAGAGAGTTTAATCGAAGCAAGAAGAAAGCATGTTGTCCATATCAAATCTCTCAGTACAGTAACTACCCATAGAAATAACTTCCATTTACATTTTCTTTCATTTGTCACTGACAAGGTGATAAAAAGCTTAAAGAAATAATATTTAAAATCATACAACATTGTGTCAACAGAACAATTGAACTGATGCCTGTTTCCATCCAGGGTTGCGTCTGCAAAAGTCCTCATACCCCATGAACATTTTCACCTTTTCCAGCTTAGAACCACATGCTTTAACATATTTTACTGGGATTTTATGGGATAGACGAACACTAAGTAGCACAAAGTTGTACAGTGGAAGGAAACTGATACATGGCCTTCAACAAATATAAATCTGAAAAAAGTGCCATATGTATTCAAGACCCACCGCTAGTCAATACTCTGTAGAACCAAATTGTTGTTGCAGTTGCAGTAAAGCATTGCGAGGCATGTCTCTACCATATTTGCACATATAGACTCTGACAATTTAATCTATTGTTCCTTAGAAAAAAACTCAATTTCAGTCAGATTGGATAGAAAGCATCTGTAAAATGTTCTAGTCTTCCCAGAGATTAGAACATTTAGGTCTGAAATGGATTTAAGCCTGGACTTTGGCTGAGCTGTGACAATCCTTTGATTCACTGCTAGATGTATGCTTAGTACAGTCCTGTTGGAAGGTGGACAGGTTTTCTTTTCCTGATTGTTCTGTATTTAGCTCTGCCCACCTTCCCATCAACACTGAGAGGCCTTCCTGTTGCTTCTGTAGAAAAACCTGCCCACCACACAGTACTGCCACCACCATGTTTCACTGAGGTCATATTGCGTTTAAGGTGACATACTGTATTAATTTTCTTCCAAATGTAGTAGTTTTTATGTAGGTCAAAAATTCCCTACATCAGAATCAGAATCAGAATCAGCTTTATTGCCAAGTTCGTGCATACAAACAAGGAATTTGCCTCCGGTACACTTTGCTCTTTTGTTCTGTTTTTGCATTACAGAATATACAATTTACAATGTACAAT